AAAAAATGTTAAATGCAAAACAATAAATATAAAAATAAAATAATATAAATAAAAAATAAATAATACTTATGTGTAATATTTGCAGTGTCACTTTTCATTAGTTCCATAAGTAAAATATTGATAAATTTTAGAAGTTCTTTTTTTTAGAAGAGATGTAGTTATATTTTGAACAGAAAGAATTTCATTATCAGTGTCATAGTTTTCAAAATATTCTTCAAAATGTTTTTCAGAATGGTTTTCAATATTTGATATTTTACCTATATTTTTAAGTTTTATTGTAACAAAAATAATTGTAAGAGGAAATAAAAATAGTAATAACAGTTAGCAACAAGAGAAATTTAGAGAATCTAATCTAATATAAGTTACATCAAATTGTTCGTGATATTAAATTATCTAAAAATTATGAAAATTATTTAAGCCTGAGGAAAATTAAATGGTAGTGAGGATAATATATTAAATTATTTAAAATATTATTTTAGGTAATTTAATAATTATTATTATTAAGTTGATATTTCAGATGATTTACGGATAATTTAATTTATACCTGCCACCCAAATTCAAAATCCAAATGCCGAAATCCCAAATGCCGAAATCCCAAATCCCAAATCCCAAATTATGATTAGTATTTTTTGCCGAAATCCCAAATCCCAAATCCCAAATACTAGTAATTTGGAATTTTGGCGTTCCAAATCCCAAATGATTTGGGATTTGGGCAACACGTATATGACAAGATGACAATTTCTTATAAATAGAGGTAACTTTTGTCCTTAGAGTAAGGACAGTTAGAATTTGAATACATTCTGAACTCAATATATGTAATAAATTATTAATAAACAGTCTTTGTGGCAAATAATAATTTGAAACCTTTAATTTCTTAGTGAAATACTTTTTGATAAATAATATCCTGTTTTGTGATCTCGGTATTATTCTGTCTATAATTAATCTTGCTTCGTGATCTTAGTTAATTATAATAATTCTATGTGAATTCTTGTAGTTTCTGTGTAAAACTGATAATATTTTGTGTGAATATTTGTTACTTTAGTATAAAAACCTTATACCTTTTTAAAATCCTCACACCTTAGCTTCTTTTGAACAAATCTACAATTTCAAATCCTTTACTCCTTATATCTTATCAGGTATAAAACCCTCCAATTGTAACATATTCATCCAATTGCTTTGGATCTTTTGAACAATAGTTTTCCTGTTATTAGTTGATAGTTAATCATGTAAATTATAACAGTAAAAATAAAGAAAAATATTTTTTTTTAGTTTTTATAATACAGAAATATATAAAATTTATATTTAATAAGAGTAATTATAAAATGTAATATCTAATATAAGAGCTAAATTTACTAATATAAGAGACAAAATATTATTTTCCTATATAATTAACATAAATAAAATTATAATGTGATTTTTTTTTTATAATTTATTTAAGTTTTATATAATTAATTAGATATATAAGTGTGCCAAAAAAATTAGCCATATGGTAACAAAAGTAAATGAAAAAAATGAAATTATATCTTTTATTAAAAGGATCTGTGTCAAAAGTACTATAACATTTTGTACTACTAAGTGACAAATTAGTAATTAAGTTTATAATAAATATCATAATAATATTTTTTTTTAAGTTTTAATGAGGTCTTGTTCCAAATTTATTAATTAGAAAAAGAAAAAATTTCTTATATTATATAATAATATTGATACATAACTTATTTTAATAAGTATACAAAAATGAGATTCAGACTAACTCGAAGAGACATACTTACAACCTACTATCTAACAACAACAGTTGTTACCAGTATGTTAAGGCCCTGCTGCAAAACCTATTTTATAAATCCAAAACCAGTTAAACTGGTTTTTGATTTCTATATTAATATAATTATTTAGTAACTTAAAATAATTATTTTTTAATTGTTTATATATATTAGATAATGTATTATTATTATAATTGTTACTATTATTATTATTATTATTATTATTATATATAATATTATTATTATTAGTTATGATTAAGGTATTCACATTGATAGATTTATATTTCTTTTTCTATTGATTTGATTTGATTCCCGCACTTGTTTTCCATTCTATGACCATTTTGCAACGAAGGTTCCATATAACTTTTTTAACAAAAGTTTTGAACTTGTTCAGTGACTTCTCAACAATTATTTTGATTAACATGGGATCATGGGTAATCATTAATAATAGAGATGGGATTAAATATGTATAACATCTATAAAGAAAACTGAGTTGAGATCTGATACAAAGTTGAAGGGGATATTCAATTCTTTTAGGTTCTCAAACTTTTGTTTAAGATTATTTCCAGTAATATTATAATACTATTAATTTGTACACGAAAGGAAAAAATAACATAAAAATTAGTTTTATTTTTATTTCCAATAAATCTTAATATAATAATTTTTAATAAATATATCATTACATAATTATTATTCATTTTATATTTTAAACTATAAATAATATAATAAAGAAATGTATAATTATATTATTATCTATTTTGTATTAAACTATAAATTTTTTTTATCATAACAATTATAATAAATTAATGACAATGGACAATCGACAGGTTATACATCTTTACACTTGATTTATATGATTAATATATCACATTACAACTGATGCACCTCAAACAAATGATCAATAGATCACACACCTCATCTGACAATTAACACCTGATGTACCTCAGCTGTAATCTGACATAAGCATTAGTCTGAGGCATAATATAAATATTTGAATAGAGCCAAATTAACCCATATGTTAATAAAAATAAAATTATATACCTTATTATTATTAATCAAAATAAATCATGTGCCACTGGTATTTAACACCACTGGTATTGCTATAAAATTTTTATTAAAAAATAATAAATAATAAAAATAATTTTACATTACTATTTCAATAAATTTGTGAAGTTAATTTATACTTTTATATTGTTTTCACAATTCTACAAACCTATTTATAAGTAGAGAAGGATAAAACAGATAACTATAAAGGTAAGAAACAAGATATGTATAAATTTTAAATTTTATAACTTATTTTATAAGTCTATGAAGTCTAAAAAAGATTATCAGATCTAAATAATTTAAATATAAATAAACAAATACTGAGGTACAAATAAATCAAATAAAAATTTTAAATTAAAAAAGGAATTTAGATCTAATAACCTGCCTCTTGAAATCTAGAATAAATGACCTAAACCCTGATTCAGGATATACTTGTATGCAATATAAGCTATAATAGTAAGTCAGAATCCAAAAGTCAAAATAGTTTTTTATAGAAGATGACTTAATTTTACTTAAAATCCATAATTGTTTGCTATTCAGATAAATTCTTTGATTGAAAATACATTAACTGGATATTTTTTTGTTTCCATATATAGAATAGATATCTCAAAAATCTTAAAAAGACGAAATATCTCAAAATCAGAAATCAGAGATAAATAATCTCAATATATTAGATTTTATTATTAATAAATATTTTTTTATATTAAAATAAGTCCAAAAATGTCTGACTTTTATGTTGTGCAGATCCCATCATCCGGTTTTTATAATATAAAAATCTCCGAACCGTCTTACATGATTTTTTCCATATATAGTCAATGTCAAGTCATATGTAAGAAGGTAAAATTAAAACATCATAAATTTTAAACGCATTTCAAGTAGTATAAAAAAAAAACCTTTCGCAAGTGCATAAAAACAAGATGGATAGATTTTTACCAAAATTAAAAGAAATTAATAAAAGTTTTGGACAAGTTCGTCAAGTAAGTGATTCAAAAATTCTATTATTATCTATAATTATTACGATCTATAATAATAATAATAATAATTATTATTATTAATAAATTGGTTAAATTGTTTTTTAGTATGCTTCAGAAAGATTTCGGGACAGCTGAAGATATAACAGATCTTCCTCAAGAATATAAAGAACTTGAATGGGTAAATTAAAATAATTAAAAATACTTAAAATAATTAATAGTAATTAATAATAAATGAATAAATAAATAATTAATTAATAAATTAATAATACAACAATTAATAATATTAGTTAATATATATTAATAATAATTAATAATATTAATTAATATATTTAATGTTGAAATATGAAAATATTTAGCGTATCGATGCCTTACATTCAGTTCATACAAATTTACTTCGAGTTACTCGAGTTCACCAGAATTCGTCATATGATTACCCAGGACAAATACAAGAATCAATGGTAGAACTTTCACGTAGTGTTGAAGCACAAATTAAAAACGTAATTCAAAATCCAGCAGAACGAGAAGCCGAAACTAGGGAGGCTGAACGTTCACCAACTATCCATAAAACATTACCTCATGCATTAGCCAGAGCAGCTGCTCAAGGATCAGAAGCATTGGGTACCGAAGAACCATTAGGAGCTTCATTACTTAAATTTGCAGCAGTTCAAGAACGTTTAGGAGGTTATCGAATTAAGATGGATAATGAGATTGTTCAAAAATTCGTGCAACCATTCAATACAACCTTAAATACAAATATTCAATTTGCTATGAAAGCAAGAAAGAATGTTCAATCTACTCGTTTAACTCTTGATGCAGCAAGAGCGACATATAAAAATGTACGACCGGAAAGATCAGAAGCTGCACGACTTGAAGTTGAACAAGCAGAAGATAAATTTGTTGCAGCAGTTGAAGAAGCTACTACATTGATGAAATCTGTGTTAGAAACGGTAAATATAATTTTTTGTAATTGCGTTATGTTTATTATTTATAATTTAATAATAATAATAATATTTATTTATTTATTAGCCCGAACCTCTTAGAAATCTTTCAGATTTAGTTTCAGCCCAATTGGCATTCTATAAAGAAGCATATGAAATCCTTGCTGAACTTGCACCTGAGATTGATGAGATGCAAGTCACTCAAGAAGCTTTGTACAGGTAATTTATTATTATTGTTATTATTATTAATTTTTAATAATTTTATTAATAATAATTATTATTATTATATTATTTTTTAATTATTATTATTATTTAATTATTATTATTTTTAATTTATAAAATAGAAATAGTCGAAATGATTAATAAATTAAATTATTAATTAATTTAATTAAATTGAATTAATCAATTAATTTAATAATTGAATGTTAAAAAGAAAAGAAAAGGAGAAAAGAGAAAAGGAGGAAAAAAAAAAAAAGTGAATTAAAATATTTAAAATATTTATATCTATCCACACACACACAAACACACATTATATCATTTCTTTTATCTTTGATTATTTTTTATTTTATTAATTTTAAAGATTTTGCTATTCAATTTTATCATCAATTTTATTTGTAAATTTTTAATTTTATATACATATTGATAATATAAATTGGTTTCAAATAATAAATTTAATTTAATTTACTTATTATTTATTTATTATTTATTTATTATTTAATATATAATTATTACATTTATATTATTATTTATAATAAATCGTACTTATAATATATAAATAGAAAAATAATAAATTAATTAAAATAAATTAATTAAAAATAATCAATTAAAAAATAAAAAAATAAAAAAATAAAAAAATAAAGAATTAAAATACTTACAAAATAATCTAACCCTTGACCAATTTCCCATAAAGATAAACCTGTTCCATAATCTTCTGCAATTTCAATTCTTGTTTTTATTGACTAAATAATAAAATATAATAATAACGTATAAGAGATAAAGAATAAGAAGATAAAAAAATAACTGAGAACATAAATAATACAAATGATAGAAAATAGTGAGAGAATAAATATACAAACCTTTAAAGTAGGAAACCAAACTTCATGTGAAACTCCATTTTCTTCATACTGTAACGAATGTTCTCCAGCATAATAATTCCATTCGATTTTTGGTTTATAATACCTTAATTTATCAATATAATTATTTCTTATTACATAATCCATCTTACCTCCTTGATAAAAATCAATTCCATACATGTTTAAACCTAATAATACTTTATTTCTATTAATTGATGTAGGAGTTATTGAAATTATATTGTTTTCTACCCAATTTATTGGTGCATTTGGACCTGGACTAAAATATTAATATTAAGAATTTTATTAGATTAATTATAAATTATAATAATTTAATAATTATAATGAATATCAAATATATTTCATATATATAAATAGAATATGTAATTAGTAAATAATAATAATTAAAAATCTTACTTTTGAGCGGATGAATGATCATAAGTCATTACTGAAAATAAATCTACAAATTGACTAAAATCTTCAAATTGAGCTGCTGTAAAATGTATTCTAGGATTTATTACTAATATTAATTCTCGAGATTCTTTATGTAATTCCATTCCTAGTTTTCTCACAAAATCTCTAAGTGATATAGGATATCCTGATTCTAATACCATTCCATCAAATTCATGATTTCTAATTAATTATATATATTTATATTAATATTTAGATAATAAAATAGTATATAATAATAATAATATATAATAATAATATAGATAAAAATATAATAATAATGATATACCTGCATTCCTTAATTAAAACATTAACCAAAGCCTCAGCTTCTTCAGGATTTCGAATAAAATTTTCATAATCTAATTGATTCCAATTATGAAATTCAAATCTAGGTACAATTTTACCCATAATTTTTTCATCATCTTCTCTTTTAACACGAACATTTTTAATCCATCCTTGATCTACATCGTGACCACCTATTAATTCATATCGTTTAGGCTGTCTATTATTAATTATATTAAATATTATTATTATATTAATTATTATTATATTAAATTATTATTAATTATATTAATTATTATTATTATATTAATTATTATTATATTAATTATTATTATTATTATTATTATTATTATTATTATTAATTTATTATCAAATATTATTAGAATTACCTTCGTGAAACAGTATACCAAGTTGGACTTATACTTTCATATCGTAAATATTATAGATATTTAAATATTTAAATTATTTAAATTAAAATGTATATAAAACATATCTATTTCCGAGATAATAAATTAATATTTATTTACTAATCAAATTTTCCTTTAAATATTTTAGCGATATCGTATCCTAATAAATTAATAAATTAACAGTTAAATTATATTATAATAATATAATATTATTAATTAACTTTATTATTTTACGAACCATGATTATTCCAAGGTGTTACATAAGCCAAAGTTGGTCCACTTTCAAAATATTTTATTCCAGCATTTGTTTTATCATATTTATCGTGGTTTTCCAAAATTGTTGAATACTGGAATTGAAATTTTAATTTTTAATTTTTAATTTTTAATTTTTTTAATTAAATTATTTCAATATCTGATATTATATTATATCATTATTAATTACCTTCACGTCAATGGGTATTGACTCATTATCATGATAATAATAATAATTATTAAATGTAATTTGTTCAGCTAAAATTGGAGACAAAATCACAAAAGAAAACAGTAATAATGAATAGTTATTATAATTATTTGACATTTTATTATCGATTATGACAAATGAGAACATTCAAATAATTCGATCAATTTATTGCTGCAGAAGTTACACGAGTTTTCTAGTTTAAGATATTTTTATTTATTATAAAAATATAGATTAATTAAATAATAATACTTTATAATTTACTATAATAGAAAATTTATCATTGGCTCTAATAGAATTTCATAATAATAATTAAAAATCCAACATTATTTTGATTAAAATTAGATACTTTTGATTTCATCTTGAATCCATTAATATTAAGTCCAAGTCTAAAACACAAAACATGGACCATGAACATCTTTATTTTTATTTTATTTTTGTAATACCATAAAGTATAATTTTCATTTTTTAACTCTACTAAAAATTGGATTTTGGAATGAAAATATTGGGTTAAACTTATTGTTGGTTTTTTTAGTTAAATTTACTGGTGGTTCTTGGGTTTTATTTACTGTTGGCTCTTGAATTAAATTTACTGTTGGCTCTTGGATTTTATTTACTGTTTGTTCTTGAGTTAAATTCACTTTTGTTGAAGTTCTTGAATTAAATTCACTCTTGGTGGAAAAATAATTGATTTAATTGATTGATCCGGAAGTAAAAGATATTGTATCAAATTATCCCATAGTTCTTTATCAAGAATTTTCTTATATGGTTTGATTTTATTTATGTAATCTGAATTTGAAATGTGAAAATAACGAATGTATGGTAAGCATTGTTGTAAAGATGTCTTTAAAGTCTTAAAATTCTCTTTGAATCATTCTTCTAATTTTTCAGGTAAAGTAGGATTTTGCGCAATTCCCCACTTAATAATATAATCCCAAATTTCGGATTCATTCATTTGTAAATCATCTCTTTTTCAAAACAGATACTAAAGCTGTTTCTTGGAAGAGAAGTGAATTCAGCAGATTCAAAAATTAAATTGGATATTTTGTAATAATTTCATTACAAAATTTTTCTAAATCTTTAAAATTATTATTATTATTATTATTTTACAAATTGAATGATAAATAAAGGAAAAATGAATTCTTAACCAAGAAGTTTTTGGATTCAATAAGATGATCATTAGTAGCGATCATCAATTCAAATATAGTTCTATGTGTAAAATTTATTAATTAAGATCATCTGTTTTATATGTATATATATATATATAATGCTAACTATAACTAAAACGAGCTAAAAATATTTATAATAAATTATATTTATTTAAATGTTATATAAAATAATAAATAAAATTAAGCAAAAAAAAAAAAAAAAAAAAAAAAAAAAAAAAAAAAAAAAAAAAAAAAAAAAAAAATTAACCAAATTTTTTTAACTTTAAAAACTTCATAATTTATAAAAAAAAAATTATCATTTGCTCTAATAAAATTTT